CATCCTCACCCCCACTCAATCAAAGACATACAAGGACGCCACATTCCACTCATACCCCCGATACACACTCTATAACCCCCAGGTCCAGGACATGCACCCACCCCCGATTGGAGGCAGCACACACCCGAACCCAGGAGGTAGACCCAATCATTCTGAGGCGGAGAGGAGCAGATAGCCAAGGCTCGGCCCGGGCCACACCAGGACGCCCAGCCAGCCCCACGCCGCAGAGAAGCCACGCCCACAACCACCCCACCACACCACCAACGGCCAAGCACACCCCACACCACCCCCAGCCAACCACCCACCGGAACCTGGCAGCCACCTGGCCAGCGGGCCACCCATAAGAACCAGGAGCCACACCCCAGGAGTCCGAGCAGCACCAGGGAGGATGGAGAGCCAGCCCCACCCCTGGCAACCATCCAAGCCCCGAGCCCACCCACAGCCCAGGACCGCACCCGGCGGCCTGCCCTTCTTCAGGACCCCCTCCCCAAATGGCAGTCGGGGAATGGGAGGGGAGTAAAGACCCTGACACCCACACCCCCACCCCCAGATGTACTGTTGGTGCGTGTTGTTCTATAGAGCAATTAAAAAGGGAAAGAAGAAGAGGCAGAGGCCGGCGTGGTGCCAGTTTCCCCTCCACCACTCCAACCCAAAACCCTAAGTGTCTATATGCAAACCTTGGGGGGTGGGCACAGGCACAGGAGGCAAGAGTGGTGCCATCCAGACACCTATAGCCATGAGTGCCCACCTCAAGTTCCTATATGTGAATGTCATGAAAATGTTTTGAGTGAATGTCTAAAATGTACAATAAAATTTGGGGCCCAGGTGTTTATGGCAAATATAGATGTAATATTGTTGCTCTTATAACACAACTGTGCCCCAAAAAACCCTATATGGGTGGAGTTGAAAATGAAGAGGGTGGAGGTGTGTGGTGAGGGATGGGGATTTGTGCAGAATTATTAAACGCACTGTGCAGGTGTCCTTCAGTCTACCAGGCTAATTCTCATTAGTAACAGTGTGAATGTGCATGTCTCTGGTCTGTAGGCCAGTGTAAAGAGTTTTTAGTGGTTGTCATATGCAGACTGTTCAAATACAGTTCATTTAACAAACATCACTCTTCTAAACTGTTCAAATGCCAATGAAGCAAAGATGAAAATTATTCCTAATTGTCTTGATTTAATAATCTTATCAGGTGAAACAAATCTRYYTAATARTGAAGTCTGCTGACCAWTTGTATAGCTGATTAATGTGGATTGATGGTGGGTTTCACATGAGCGCACATAGACCATGTCATACTAAATATCATGTATTAGTGGTGTTTATATATACTGTATACTTTGCACAAAAAGAAAGGAAATTTCTTTTTAGTAGATTATTTATTGGTTGTAACAGTGCTTCTTGGTAATCAGTCTTATATTGTTAGAAAGCCTGTTAAATTTATTTTTAAATGATGCCACATTTGTAAGGAACATGCATTTGTGGGATGAGCAGTAGAGCTGAGTATGTGGGTTGCACACATGAAAATGTCATAGTCTGTATTCATTTTCCTTAGTTTTCCTAGTGTTTTCTATGTTCCCCAGTGTGTCTCTGCCCAGCTGCTCCTTATTAGTCTGACTGTCACCCTTGTGTTTCTCCCCAGGTGTTTTCTGTTCATTCATTAGTTGTCAGTGTATTTAAGCCCTGTCCTGTCTCAGTCTTGTGTCGGATCATTGTTGTGTTTTGTTCCTGAGCTTTGTCTCCCTTGTGCCTGTGTTTTTGAGAACCTGTAAGTGATTTTTGAGCTGCCTCAGCAGCATTTTCTGTTATTTAATAAATCTTTTTGTTCCTTTTTGAACCTGCCTGGGTCCATTCCTCCACCAATCCTGATAGAAAAATTTACCAAATATTCAGTTTATTTTGCTGTTAAWATTGACACTTGTTTTGAGCTTCTGATACCCCTAGGTGCTGCCAGTCAGGTGGCCATTACAAGATTTGTGTGCAAAGTATATGAGCACACACAAACACACTTCCACACATTACATTAAGGTGATTTGCAAAGGGATGTTGACTGGTCTAATACTGGTAACAACAGGAACTGATAAATGTTAATCCTTCAAATTCTTTTTCCTGAGAGCTAAATCATGCTCTGAAAGCATGGGATCCTCAATTTAAAGTAAGATTTATAGATATGCAGCTTTAATGTACATTGTATTTTATGACAATACATAATGTTTAATGTACAAAAGATTTACATTTTTACTAAGTTCTAAAATGAATTGGCCAGTATTATAAAAAAGAAGTGTTATTGTTTTTCTATTTGTTTTAAGAAACATTTGGAAAATCAAGTCTGCTGGTGTACTGCTACAGTTCAACACAAAAGGGATCATTTTGGCTGAGGAGAAATACTTGATTGGTAGTAAATAAATAAATTGTATAATACTTACACAAATAGTCTTATGTCTTACTTTTAAGAATTGTTTTTGGTGTAGTTTGTGTATTTTAAATCTCAACTTGTGCTCTTTTGTGTTCCGAGTTGTCTGTAACCTCATTTGTTTTCTCATTTAGACTTTCTACCATAATCTGACGTAGTACATGTTAAGTAAAGAATGATTTTGAATCTGAGTTAACTGTTAGAATGACCTGAGTTATATATATAT